GGAGGAGGCCTCCCCGGTGGGGATCAGCGCCTGAGCCACCCCGGGGCCCGCCTTCCCCCCCGGGGCGCCCGCGCGCGCTGCGGCCGGGAAGGTGGGGACGCCTCGAGAGGCCAGAGAGCCGAGCGAGGGGAGGTACCCGCAGGGGCGCACGGGGCGCACGGGTCTCGCCTTGAGGACGTGGATGAGCGTCAGCAGATGGAAGTCGCAGCGGGGCTCCGGGACTTGGGGGTGAAACCGGGTCGCGTTTGCTTCAGGTTCACTGGCAGTGTTCTCGGTGGATATGGGCTGTACCTCCTTAGGACCATTTAGATTATTAAATTTCCGGTCCAGTCCCCCAAGGGCCTTATGGAAACTAACATCAGTAACCTAACTCCCGTGACTATCCCGCGCCCTTCCTAGGGAGCTCTCGTCCTTCCCACCCGCCTCCCTTCCCTCTGAAGGAACTCCTGGCACTTACTCAGCTAGCCCCTGGTTACAGAGGCCTTTTGCTTCAAACGCGCAACTGTCTAAACTAAGGGGAAATCGGATGCCGGTTGCTCTGAGTACAGGGCGCTGTTCTGAATTTCCGGAATTCATTGTGAAGGCAGTGCCTTGGAGCACCCTGCTCTGGGCGCCTGCTACCTAGGTACCTACCAGTTGGTGAGGGAGGAGCCTGAGCACATTCCTGCGCCCCCTGACGTGGGCTCTAGCAAGAACGCTGGAATCAGGCCCCCTGCTTGGCCGCCTCTCAAAGCCTCCCTCCTGGCAGGCTAAGTGTTCCTTCTGTCTTTATTCCTAGAAAGGAGGGGGTACTCACTCACTCCCCTAGTCCAGAAAGCTAGATCAAGTGAAGAACTGTTTTTAACCCCTCACATCTGTGCCTTCTACTTGGTTTCCTCACAAAACAAGCCTTTCAAACAATCACTATCCCCAAAAGGCTGCTGGGCTCCCCCCAGCTGTGAGAGAACACGATTTGACTTTCTAGAGAAATGGTGTAGGAAGGGGGAGGCTCCTGGCTCTCCAGCATGTCAGGGAGACATCCAACCCTTGGCCTCCGCCTCCTATCTGCACTGCTCCCAGAGACTCGGATCCCAAGAGACAGGAGAAGGACAGGCTCCTCAGTCACACAAACATCAGAATACAGAGAGGTAGGGCCACTGTGTAACCAGGCCATGCCCATGCTCCCACCTATGGAACAGTTTGTAGGAGAGACAATAATCTGTGTGAGGAGAGAGAGCGATTAAAAAGCTAAAAGAGGAGATCTTTTGTCTTCTGACCTCTGTTCTCTGATGCTTCTAGGGGTCCTTGCATCCCTGGCCCGTCCTCAACCTCCTAAGTTCCAGCTCTGACTCTCCACCATCACACATAGCAATTCCCAAGGCCCCTGTCCCCACCCTTCACACTGGAGCAAGTTTTGTCCCGGTCCCAAGGGTAAAAAATTCTCTAGTTGGCCTCTCCATCTCCACCTGTCAGCACGCCTGGCCCAGCAGCCTGTGCCTGTGCACTTCTCCCAGCTCATTTGAGCAGGTGTGCTTTTGCAGCTCCCCTTAGCTATCCAGAACTCCCCTGACCTTCCCAGGTGCCTCATCCAGAGATCATACATGCAGGGTAAGTTGCTCAGGCAGGTGTGAGATACAGAACTTGGAGAAGGGGTCAATGTTTGTCACCCTTGAGAGGCAGGGATGAAGGTTGGGGTAGGATGAGATGAGAGCCTGCTATACTCCATACCCTGCTGCCGAATCCCTGAGCCCCAGGCCTTGCTTCCCCGGCTCAAGCCAAATTTGCCTGGGACGGGGGTTGGGGGTAGGAGGTGAGGAAGTGGGTTTTGTTTCTATTTTATTTTGTTTGGATCTTCATCTTTGTATTACTGGCATCTAGCAGAGTGCCTCGCACATGCTGGATGCTCAATAAACTTTTGATGAAATGAAATGACCACTTCCTTCCACTTAAGGAGAACAAAACAAACTTAAAAACACCAGTCACTTCCCTTTTCTCATCTTCACCATCCTTCACCCTCTTTGCAAACCACAAATTGCCCGTTCCAGAATCATTGCTCACTTACCCATTCATCCATTCAGGTATTCTTTCATTTATTCAAAAACGTTTGTTAATCTACCATGGACCAGGCCCTGTGATAGACACTGGGAAACAGCATAACTAGGCCATGACTCCTACCCAGAAGCCCCATGGAGGAAGACAGATGGGTAGGCAGGTTGTTACGATACAGCGTGGAAAATGCAACGATAGAGGTAGATACAGGTGCCCTGAGAGCATAAAGGAGTGTTAGCTAACCCAGATTAGAGCTTCTCGGAAGAGACAGAGCCTGAACTTAGTCTTAGGAAAATTACTTACTCAGGTAAAGGGAGGAAAAGGGTGAAGAAACACATATTCAAGGTAGAAAGAGCAGCGTGTTTAAAAGCTTGGAAGTGTAAAGTGAGTCCAGACTATTAGTCCTCATAAAATGTGGGTCACCCAGGGACAAACGTTTATATAGTCCTATAATGGAAACTAGACTTAGGATGAGTGACAAGGTAGGGGATCTGAACCTGAGACTCCTGTATTAAGTTGGTATCCTAGAAAGGGCCCCCAGCTGGTAGTACCCCAGGCTTCTAAAATAAAAATTCAGCCCTGGCCCATGTGGCTCAGTTGGTTGGGTGTTGTCTGCATTGGGGGCTCAATCCCAGTTGGGGGGCGTGCAGGAGGTAACTAATCTATGTTTTGCTCTCACATCAATGTTTATCTCCCTCTCCCTTCCCCTCTTTCTAAAAATCAATTTAAAAATCTTTTTAAAAATAAAATTTTAAAAAATGCAAATCCTCTCTAGAGAAAAGCATCTCCTAAAATTTTCAGAGATTAAGAGCAACCAAAGATGAGTTGACAATGAAAGGTCATTAAAAGCAGATGGAAACAAATCACCATGAATGAAGCCAGGAGCCAGAGGTTGAAAACTTTCCTCGGGAGGGTCCTTTAGAGGGCCACTCAATACCTGTCCTCTCTCTTCCCTCTTACAAGCTACTATGAGATACAAAACACAAACCTTTAAAACCAGAGGGTGAAGGGAGATACTTTCTAAACTGGTCACTGGGTCTGCATATCACCAGGGCAAGGAGCAGAGCTTCCTTCAATTTTAAAATTGAAGGCAACTCCCATTGACTAAATATCCCTTTGACTCACGCAGCCAGCTCTTCCTTAGTGTGTGGAAATGAAACTATCAGGGTGCTGGTGGGCCAGGTTGCTGGAAATGAGAACTGTGGTCTCTGGGAGCCATCCAGATTCACCTTACTGTTGGGAAATCCCCTTGGCCACCATGCCATGGGTCCCTGCAAGTCCTTGATGCTTGGACCAAGTGACGGGAAGGAGGCCTAATGTCCTGCAGGAATAGCTCAGAGTAATTCGCCCCTTCTATCCCCATCAGTTCTTAACACTTGGCTTTCCAGCGTCTGGGAATGGAGAGGCTGGAGTGGGATGGGATGGGATGGGATGGGATGGGATGGGATGGGATGGGATGGGATGGGATGGGGCAGTCTCCAGGGATGAGGACATGCCTGTGGGGCAGGGGCCATTCCTCGTGCCGCCCTAGCCTCTGGGACGCTGTTCCTGCAGTACAGCACGGGCACCTTTCCTCGCTGTATCACCTGTCCATTCACTCAGCCGAGGACAGGGCTAGTCATGAACCTGAATGCCTTTGGGACTTGTCATCTTGTCCCCTAAGGGAAATTTATGCCATCTTTCTGGATTATACACGTTTGAGTAAAATCAAGTTGGCCTTAACTCAATAGCAGAGAACTTGGTTAATCTCCCCAAGTCCAGTGTGCAAGCAGAAGAGACGAACAAAGGCCTGCTGACGGCAACGTACTTGGGGAGCGAGCAGTCGGGGTCAGACAGGCTTAAGGGCTGTGTATCTGGGAAATCTCAGGCTGGCGGTGTGTGCAGCAAAGTCATCTGTCTCACCACGTCCTTTCATGTGTCACCCTTGGCTGACTTCAGTGTCCACATGGATACCCCTTTATCCCTCTGGCTCCACGGATCCTTGACCCTGTAAACGCTACTCCACTCTGTCTGGCACACATACTGTGGACTTTGTCACTGTCCTTAGCTCCTCTGCTGCTGAAATACCAAGCTATTCTCTGATCCCAACTCCTATCCTTCCAGCTCCGTCACTCTGTTATTGTCACTCTATTTCCACCAGTTGGAAGTGCTCCGGTTGTAGAAACCAAGGTTTTCTCCTGCCCTAATCGTCTTAATCAGCCTTGGTGTGTGTTTGAGGGGTTGTGAAGGAGCCCTCTTGATAGGCTGTTAGGGTTGTGGCCGTGGCTGGTGCTGAGGCCAGGCTGGGAAGCGGGGGGAGGGAGGGAGTCAGCTGGGTTAGGGGCCCCACAGAGGAGCTGGCCAGGAACAATTGGAAACAAAGGCTGGACAGTCTTCCGTTGAGCCCCCAGAGCCCGGCTTGGCTTTCCGGGAACAGCTCCAGGAAATGGCTGAGATTCCAGATTTGGAAGGAAGAGACCTGTAAACAGGAGGTGGGCTCTGAGAGGGGAGCGCAGCTTCTCT